TTGGATTTTATTCTAAATGAGTGGCCACATCAATGTTTTCAGGAGATTTAACAAGGGAAGAAAATAATTCAATTTATATTTCAGTAAGTTCATTTTTGCTACTATGTGGAGAATGCACTGGAGGCAACAAGCATAGAAGTGGATTTTTTTAATAATATAATAGTTTATTTTTACATCATTTTGTGCATTTTTCCATCTCAATTGTAATCCCCTTGGGCTTCCCATCACCAAATCACCCATGTGCCACCATCAAAATTCAGTGCATTTCCCTCCCTCCCCCCCGCCCCCGTTTTTGATCCCATTCCCCACTCCACCCCCATAAATTGTCTCTGGTATATAACGGTTTATTATTATTATTATTATTTTCTCGCCTGGTCCATTTATACTCCTGCTATGAGTGAAACCATTCGGTATTTTTTGTTTTCTTTCTGGCTTATTTCATTAAAAGTGGATTATTTTTTTAAAGATTTATTTATTTATTCAGGGTATAAATCAGAGGCGCAGGGCAGTGAGAGGCTTCACCAGAGACAGAGTGGAGAGAAGAACAGCAGATCAACCAAGGACACTGCTGAGGGGAGCAGCGGGGGAGTCAGGAGAGGTCTGCTGCACCATGTGGGCCACCTCCAGGGCCGGGGATTGGACTCGCACTGAAGCAACTGCGGCCAGCTTGCAGTGCTGCATCCTAACCCGTTGCGCCATCAGGGAGGGCCAGAAGTAGATTCTTAAAAGGACAGTTCAGTACCAGACACAGTGCCCAGGAGAATTCCCAGCCAGAGGAAGACAAGATCCCGGGTGCATACCTGGAGGAGAGTTGTTCTGAGAGCCCTCCCCCGGCCTGTCTACACTGCAAATCACTCCTCAGTGGACTCTGACACACGAGCACTCCTCAAAGGGAAGTTTCCCTCCCCATCTTCACCCTTAGTCTTCACCCTTTCTTCTCATATCACACTTAGGACCTCAGCTTAGGTCAGAGTCAGTGTGGCACCTGTATGCTCCTCTCCCAGACTTTCTGGGTCACAGGGGCCTCTCAGTCCTACACCAGACCCGGGCTCTGGATTTCTTGTTGATGATGGCCTCGTTCAAGTGACTCCCTCAACTTGATCCAACGTTGGGTGGACTTTTAAAATCTAAGTTATTTCAACTGTCCCAACTGGAGCCACACCTGGTCGCCTAGCCGTTAAGTCTTAGCACTATCACCCCTATGGCCTGAGTTCAATTGTGGCCAGGGAGCTGACCACATGGCCCAGCAGACCACTCCTGTCTCACCCACTGCTCCCCTCGGCAGTGTATTTCAGTAGATCTGCCTGTTCTGTTACCCACTCTGTCACTGGTGAATCCTCTAACCCCCCGCACACCTCTGGCCTTTATCCCAGCTCTTGTGTGCATAAATAAATAATCTTTTTAAAATAATAGTAAAATAAAATAAATTGTCACAACTGACATCTTTTCTGAAAAATGAAAAAATAATACCAAAGTAACAGGAGATGCAAACTAGAGAGTGATACCGCCCCCACCCCCCCAGAAAATTGATGAAATGAGGGATAAGTGTCCCCAAAATCCTACCTAAGTCTGAAGAAGAATGAAAGGGACACCCCCTCTTCTTTGGGCCCCACTTCCAGCCCCTGCTTCAGGCTGGCTCAGGAAGGGGGAAGGCCCTTGAGGCAGCAGAACCTCCGGTAAAGGAGACAGTAAGTGGGAGAAAGCAAAACCAGGATCCACCAAGTTCCCCTTCTCTGCAGGGGAATTCATGAGCAGACACAAAAGCTGCCATCTGTAACACACAGCTGCTTCCTCCTCAAGGACCCACACCTCAGCACACCACGTTCACAGTTTGCTAGTATTTCTAGTGGAATTCCCAATTCCTGCAGCTTTAGAACTCCAAGCTAAAAATACAGTGCCGCTGGCGCATGGCCCAGATTCTGAAGCCCCAAAAAACACTGAAGGATAGATAAATGGGAAGGAGAGTACTGAAAGAGGCGTGGGCACAGCGAAGAAACCCTGGACCTGTGGTGAGGTGGGGGAGGAGGAAGAGGGTGTCAGTGGAGCCCAGGGAGCAGCTATTAGGGGAGGAAACAAGAAGTGGAGCGCTAAATAACAGCTCTTTGGGGGGACATCACATGCACTGTCCTCTAAATTAACTTTCTCCATCCACAATCTAATAATCCAGAGGGCAACTAATTTCAAAAGCAACACAAATGATTTTATATGGGTTTCCTATACAAAGCCATAGGAGTTCTTTAGTATGCATTATTGTACATTTTAATCTTAGTTCTACATTATTGGTCCATGGAAATATACTTCAGGGCCCTCCCTGGTGGCATAACAGGTTAAAGCGCAGCGCTATGAAACTATCATAGCTTCTTGATCACTGGCAAGGGAGGGTGACCCACATGGCGCAGCAGACCCACCCGCTACTCCCCTCAGCAGTGTATTTCAGTCCATCTGCCTGTTCTGCTCACTACTCAGTCTGTGGTGAATCCTCTCACCCCTCATACCTCTGACCTGTATCCCAGTTCTGTATGTATAAGTAAATAAGTCTTTAGAAAAAAAAAAAAGAAAGAAAGAAATATACTTCATATGTACTTTTTGAATTTCTTAGCCCCCAGATAATAATCATCAAAATGTGTTTAAAGCCTGAATTGCAAATTATGCTATAATTTATTCAATCAATCTCCTACTGAAAGACATGGAATTGATTCAACTATTTGTCTACTATAAACAAATAAAACTACGGAAAATTAAAAGCATGAGTGCATTATACTTCTCTCTACAAATATTAAAATCTAGATGAAACAGATTCTAGGAATACAAAAACTACCAAAGAGGATAGGAAACTTAAACATACAGTAAGTATGGAATTTTTAAAACAGCTCTCCAAAAGTACCACATCCCGATGGCTTTTCAAGTGAAATCTCCCAACTCTTTAAAAATGCTATTTAGGGCCCTCCCTGGTGGCCAAACGGTAGGACACAGCACTGCAAGCCCAGCTGCTTCAATGCAAGTTTGATCCCCCCCCCGGAGGTGATTCATACGGGACAGACCTCTCCCCTCAGCAGTGTACTTCTTCGATCTGCCTGTTCTGCTCCCCACTCTGTCTCTGGTGAATCCTCTCACCGTCCCTGCACTTCTGGCTTGTACCCCAATTCTGTATGCATAAATAAATAAATCTTTTTTTTTAAATAAATAAAAATAAAAATTCTATTTATAGTATCCCAGAAAATAAAGGAAAAAGGAAGTACTTTCAGTTCTTTTTGCTTTAATGCCAAACCCAACTTAAATGGCACAGAAAATGAAAACAGAGCAAACTTATGAATATCAAGGCCAGAATTCAAGGTAAAATTTAGCAGTTACAATCCAGATTAATACAATAAAATACCAAAGACCCAGAGTAATTTCAGCAATCAGTACTGATTATTGTCAGGAAATCTAATACTATAAATGGCCCTATGGCTGTTTAAAAGGAGACAAAATATATAAACATCTCAATAGATGTATAAAAGATTTGTGATCAAAACAACTCTTTTCTGATTTTTAAAACAACTTAGAAAAATGAGAATAGATGGGTGTTTCCTTAAGACTCTGTATAGAAGAAACTAGTAAAGTGGTAACAGAGAGACAGAGAAAGGCAAAAGTAGAAAACAAAGCAAAAGTCAGTATCAGCATAAAAATAGAGGCAGCGTGTCAGCGGGACTAAGAGCTTAAGAGTTCAGTTCTGGAGCTGTAACTCACACCACTCCTACCACTAGTTGTACGTAACAAGGTGGTCCCCAGGACGGGGAGGTTCACATGGAGAGCTAAATAACAGTTCTTTGGGGGTACATACCAAGCCCTCTCCTTCAAATTAACTTTCTGCATTCTCAGTCCAATAATCCACAGGACAGCTAATTTTCTGGAAGGAGAAGAAGCAGAGAGGAAATAGGAGAAGAGAGAAGGTGGAGGCCAGAAGAAAACCTGGAAAAGACAAGGAGCAGAGAGAGGTGAAGAAGCTACATCTGCTTCTCAGTCTTGGACTTGGGGGACACAGAAGGAGACATGTCAAACAGATGTGGGTGAGAGACCCGTGGGGAGGCTGACAGTGGCAGCTTTTATCTTGATTTTGATGTTGCTCATTTCCTCCCAGACTTGTCTGGCTGTTTCTGCCCTTGTGGGTTCCCCAGAAGGTGCTTTAGGCTGTGACAAGCTCTTGGGCCTCTGCAGTCCTACTTTGAGCCAACCCTGTGTGACTGGGCATTTCCCCACAAGAGGTGAGAAAGTCTGGGTGCTGCTTGATTTAAAAACTTTTTTCTTGTTCTTGTCCTCATTACACACTAATTGTATTAAAGTTCCTTTCCATTAAAGGTCTTATACATGAAAGTACGTTTTGTCGTGATGTGGAGATTAACAGGACCTATTTTAAGAGGGTGGGTTTGAGGTTCCTAGGATGCCCCTCACCCTTCCAGGTAACAGAATAACCTTGAACAAGACCTTAAACTGTGTGTCTCAATTTTCTCATCTGTAAAAGAAGACAATAGCAGCACACACTCAAAGAGGTATTGTCAGGATAGGAGTAGAAGGAGGCGATGTGTACATACAAACCACCTGGCTCATAACACTCTGTAAGTGTCCGCAAGAATATAAGAAGACATACTTCTGTCAAAGCATCAAAAATCATGAATGGTGAACAGTAAAACTATTTCAAGGAAGTCAGAAATAAAAAAGGAATATTCAAAGTCAACACTTCTATTAAAATTTTTGTTCTGCAAATATTAACCAGGCGCTCAATCAAGAGAAAAACATTACTTTTTTAGACATAGAAAAATAAAAGATGAATTACTGTTACTTAACTATTGTTAGTTGCAGGTAAAATACTATCCCTGAAAATAACAAGAGAATCAACTGAAAATGATGAGAAACAATAGGAATTTATTGGATTTATTTCATTCACTTACCTTCCAAAAGAGAAATATGAAAACAATCTTGAACTTGTATGAGCTCGGAACCTAAACCTTTTGAAAACTCACCTTGGCATTTTAATTTGGGAGGCTCCCATGTGCCTGGGGCTGTGCAGCTTGAAACTATGTTGTCTGGCCCACTGAAGAATCCTTCTTTGCAAGCATAATGAACCTGGCTGCCAAGCCTAGAGGTATAATTTCCTAGGATATAACCATTTGGGACCTCCGGAGGGGTGCCACAGTCTATTTCTGAAAATAAAGTAATATCAAATTCATTATATGTGCATGTGAATTTTCAAAATTCATACTCTCCCTCCACCTCTCTCCCCTTCCTCTCCCACCCAACACACACCCCAAGGTATATTTTAAATAAGCCGTTTCATTTCCATTTGCCTTCTGATTCCAATGACTATCTTCAATCTTCTGACCTTGCATAGGTAATAGCATCTATACATGCACAAAGCTGAAAGAATTTGGCAATTAACTCTCACTAATCAACAGCAAAGAGAAGCCTAGGCTCTGAAGTAAAAAAATCTCCATGGCAAATACCTTCAGCTATATATGCCTTTATGATTTTTCAGGGTCACCTCTGAGACTCTGGTTCTTCCAGATCAGCTGTGCTTACTATCTAGCATACTTAATGAAAGTCAAAATATCTATTAACTGCCACAAATGCCCAACATCTACTAATTTTAGCATTTTAAATACTACACCCCCCTCTATCTTGGTCATGTTATTTGCCTTACTTCACAGTTTGTACAAACGTGCAAAGAACAGATCCTCTCCACCCACATCCCCAACACAGGCCCATAGACAGAGCAGGAGAAAATCATGAGGGGTGGAATCTCACCTTCAGAAGCTGCATGCTGGGACAGAAACCCACCTGTGCATGATGTGGCATCTCTGGCCTGGTGGAAAGGCTCAGGACCATTCTCTGGCAAATATCCAGCCATACAGTAGCACTCAGAAACCCACCTGTGCATGACGTGGCATCTCTGGTGGGGTGGAAAGGCTCAGGCCCGTTCTCTGGCAAATATCCAGCCATACAGTAGCACTCAAAGCTGCCCTGAGTGTTCACACACCGTCCTCCACGCCTGCACCGGCCGGAAACCTCACATTCATCTATGTCTTGAGACCCAACCCGGATTCAAGAAGGGAGAGGGGGAAAAAAAAAGGAGGGAACATTGTGATAGCCATTTCTCACCTTCTCAAGCTGCCTCCAAAACAAATGTGGCTGTTTTCAGCTATATCATGAATTTTATTCTACTCTTGGGGAGTCTTATATAGTCCTTACATCATAAGCACTAACAGGAGCTCAACAAATACTGATCTGCATGTTCTGGAAATTTACAAAAATCAACAACCATCACCAACTCTCTGACACCCAGCAAAATGTACCCCAAAGTAACCTTTAAAAGTTCAATTCTAAAAAAAAAAAAAAGTTCAATTCTTATAAAATAGGGGTGGCCTCAACTTCATAGGAAGGTATCTGAAGTCATACTCGAAATACAAAATGATTTAGGCGGCAGTGGAAAAATGCATTTCAGCATGTGAGTACAGGACAGTGTGGAGGGTAGTAAAGGAATAACTCAGAAGGACCTTACTAATTCTGCCAAGATTACAAGATTAGAGGGACTTAAGATAAGCTTCAAGGACAGGGCATGCCCCTTGACTGAAGATTATCAGCCCTAGCAAGGGCGGGGGGGGGGGGGGGGAACCACAGTAATTAAAGGCTGGAAAGAAACCTCTCTACAGGTTGGCAGTTCTTACCTCCAGACTGGTTTGGAAAACAAGACGGAAAACTTTAGGGATTCTATCAGAACCACACATGCCAATTTCACTTAGAGACACAAAGTACCTTGAGTAAAATGGGACTTTTCCCAGGATATTAAGAGCCACCGGTGGTAGCAGAGGGCAGCGAGCAAGGTGGCTGAAGAAAGCCTGGTTGTTCCCAGACTAGGATTTCAAAGACCAGTCATTTTGGAAGAGCAGACAGAAGTTGGCCAATAATCTATTTTACCAGTAAAGGTTTTTTTCCCCAAAAAAATACTAATACCATCACTTCATAAAAGAAGGAAAAAACTGTCAGAATCTTCTAAATTTATTTAAAGTGATTTTACCAAGGTGCACTATTTTCTCTTTTTTGTTTGTTTGGCTACTAGTCTCAGACCAAGAGATACCTCATCACATCACTCAGTCATCACTGGTACCCAGTAGTTCACCCAATTGCTGATGGAAGCCACACAAGCTATGAGTTCTGATCATCCTGTGCCTTTAGCACAGCAAATTTGAGGAAACTTTGAAAGATTGTCTCCAGAGGTAGCTGCCCACAGTTCTTCCCTTAAACCATTCCCCCTCCCTTGGCTGGCCCTCAGGCTTGCTTTGGCCAATAGAATATGGCAAAAGTAACACTACACCAGCTCTGGACCTACACTAGAAGCCTGGCCACCTCCTTTTCCCCTCGCTTGGAATCCAGAAACCACGCTGTAAGGAAATCCAGGCTGCTGGCTTTGGAGAAAGGCTCCAGAATGACCCTAAAAAACAAGACACTATGGGAAGAGAGAGACCACATGAAGGAAAACTAAGGTACCCAATATTAAAGCCCTAGATGTATGAGAGAACCCTTCTTTTTACCTCCCAACCCAACCATCAGTTGAATGTGTTCACAAGAGTGACAGAGCCACCTCAACCCATGGAAACAATTGGTTGTTACTGTAAGTCACTAAATTTGGGGGACTGAGGGAAGTAGAGTTAGACAGTAATAGACCAAGATACTCTTTATTTGTGAAGAGCTGCTTAAGTCCAAGCAAGATAAAGAGAATACTGCATAAATGAAAAAAGAGGGTGCTTCAGAGAAAACAATGTGATCTTGGAAATTAAAAACAAAATATGCATGCTAAAAATAAAGGCAGCAGAGGATGAATAACAGTCTGGACATCGCTGAAAAATAAATTTTCAAATTCCAAGTTGAGAAATTCTCCAAAAACACACAAAAAAACAAGTTATGGGAGATAGAATAAAGGAAATGATGTGAGGATAGACAAAATATTCAGAATCTGTTTAAGAGTAACTACAAAAAAGATATAAGAATTAATCAAAGGGGAAAAAATCCTCTATGTATTTAAATCCAAATAAACTTTTAATGCAACAGTCATAAATGTTGAAAAATAAGTCACTCTCAATTTCATTGAGTAAGAGAAAAATCTATAAATTTCCCAAGAGAAAGGAAAAGCTATACAGAAAAGAGAACCAGGGTGACCTAGGATTTCTTGTCTGAAAGACTAAGGGCTAAGTAGCAAGTCAAGAAATATTTACAAATTCTAAGGGAAAGGGACAAAAACATCACGCTACATTTGAGCAAAGAAGTGACCTTTGAGAACATGAATGACCTTAGGAAATTATAGCACTGACATTTCTTTTCAGAAAAAGATTTTGAGAAAACACTCAAACCAGCAAATGGCACCAGAATAAATAAGGTCAAGAAAGGAGAAGACATAAAATACAACAAAGACTGGTGAGAAATGAAACCAATAAAAGTTAGCAACTGCTGATAATATATGATCATGGTGCTAATATAATTATGGAGCTTTTAGTAATTGTTAAGAAAAGAAGATTCTTTTAAAATACTGTAAAATAAGTCATTCTCAACCTAGAATAAACTTTACAGGTAATTTCAACACTGGTAAAAGTGACATGTGTGCCTAGATTTGAGCCATCATTTAAGCCCATTAAATTTTTTTTATTCCAGTGAGGAATTTGTGAAATGTGTATTTATACCTTTGACAAAAATCATATTCCTTTTTTGTTTTTTAAAGACATTTATTTATACATACAGAACCGGGGTACAGGCCAGAGATATGGAGGGGGGGTGCAAGCAGGGAGCGGAACAGGTGGGGAGCAGAACAGGTAGATGCATTGAAATACACTGCTGAGGGGAGCAGAGGATGGGTCAGGAGAGGTCTGCTATGCCATGTGGGTCAGCTCCCTGGCTGGGGATCAAACTCATGCTGCAGTGGCTGCTTGCTTCATAGTGCTGGACTTTAACCTATTGCACCACCAGGGAGGGTCCTACACAAATAATTTTCTACCCTGTTTGTTCTGCCCCATGACATCACAAAAAGTAATGGGAGTGAACAGATTTCTCAGTAGGCTAAAGACAAGAAGTACAAGTACCTAGAGCCAAAAGGTGACTAAGCATCAATGGTGGGGAAAAAGCTGGTTGTTTCTAGATATTGACAAGCTCTCCTGGAGTTGCTACAAGCGTTCATCAGTTTGCTTTGTGTAAGGTTATTTGAACACCTAACAATAGTATCTGTTATAATAATTGCTTTTTTTTTTTAGATTTATTTATTTATGTATACAAGAACTGGGGTACAGGCCAGAGGTGTAGGGTGTGAGAGGATTCACCAGAGACAGAGTGGGGAACAGGACAGGAAGATCTACCAAAATATACTGCTGAGGGAAGCAGCAGGTGAGACAGATGAGGTCTACTGCGCCATGTAAGTCAGCTCCCCAGCTGGGAGTCAGAGATCAAATTCATGCTGTAGTGGCTGTGGATAACCTCACAGTGCTGTGCCTTAGCCCCTTGAGCCACTAGGGAAACCCCATTATAGTGATTGTTAATAAACATAATCCTCTCGTGTCTTTTTCTATATGCCAGACACTGTCCTGATATATTTCATTATTTATGACTGCTTATTTTCATCATACTTAATACTCACAATAGCCCTGTGAAGTAGATGCCACTATTGTCCTTTACAGATAAAGAAACTGAAACACAGCAGTTAAGTAACTGGACTGGAGTCACACAGAGAAATAATAGAAAGCTAGAATTGGAAATCCATATATCTGGTTCCAGAAACCAGATTCTTTCTTATGATTGTTATTATTAGATTCATTTATTTATTTTCTTACATCATTGTTCATTTTTAGACAGTAACTGGCTTCTCTCCCCAGGTGTTACTCTCCGTAATTCTCCCACCACCACCACAGCACCTGTGACCCATCACCATAGTCCCTTGGGCTCTTCCCTCCCCTGCCTTGACCCCTCTCCCTGTGATTGGTGGTGACTGGCAAAGCCTCCACTCCTGTCCTTCTTCCTTCCTCTAGTCCTTGCCCCATTTCTCAGCTGTTACATTTCTCTAGAAGAAATGACATAGGCCCTGATACTGCAGGAAATGAGTTCATGAAAAATGAAGTTCTTGTTGCCAGCAGAGTTGAAAAGGATTCCCAGGAGAGGGGACAGAAAGGCCCAGAAAGGGTGTAGCACCTACTGGGCCATGAACCCATTCTTTTCTTCCCCTTCTTTTTATAAACGTCAAATGCATCCTCAGAACTCTGATATAGTTGCACTCCTTTCCCCTGACAAATTCCTATGGCCTTGAAAACACAATTTTGGGGGCCTCCCTGGTGGTACAAGGAGTTAAGTCTCGGCACTATGAAGCAATCTACAGCCACTATAGCAGGAGTTCGAATCCCGGCCAGGGAGCTGACCCACATAGTGCAGCAGACCTCTCCTGTCTCTCCCGCTGCTCCCCTCAGCAATGTACTTTAGGCAGTCGGCCTGTTCTGCTCCCTACTCTGTCTCTGGTGAATCCTCTCACTCCCAGTACCTCTGACCCATACCCCAGGTCTTGTGTGCATAAATAATTAAACCTTTAAAAGAAAAAGAAAACCAAAAAGCTGTGTTATCACAACATGCCATAAACAGAGTTCAGATGACAGAGCATCCACTGAAAGTTAGGGTTTTACCCACCCCTTGTATTCAACCAACATACGCCCAGAGATCTGACCTAAGAAGCTATTAAGGTCCTAAAGTTTGCATCCTTCATGTAGTTTATTCCTCTGGGAGGCAAGCCCACATCTCCTGCAGCTATCACTATGCCCACCCTCCCCATCCTTGCACAGAGTTGGTGACTGCCAGAGTCACCCCAAGAACCCCCTGCCCGGGTCACAGTAACCTGTACGGCACATCGCCGCCTGGATTCCTTCCTTGCTTTGTTATTGAATGTTCAGGCCCTCCGTGGTGGCACAGCGGGTTGGAGCGCTGCACTGCGAAGCTAAGCCTAAGCCGACCCCGTGGCGGCTTCAGTGCGAGTTCAGTCCCGGCCCTGAAGGTGATCTACATGGCGCGGCAGACCTCTCCTGCTGGCCGGCTGCTGCCCTCAGCAGTGTAATTCATCAATCTTAGCAGTGTATTTTGGTAGATCTTCCTGTTCTGCTCCCCACTCTGTCTCTGGTGAATCCTCTCGCCACCCCTGCACCTCTGGCTGTACCCTATTTCTGTATGCATGCATTAATAAATCTTAAAAATATATATTAACAAAATGTCCAGACACACAAAGCAAAACCATTACAGCAAACTCCTATAGAGTCAGCCCCCCAAGATTCAACAATTATTCACATTTTGCCACCTAATGTACCTTAGAGCTAACACCAAATGCTTCATAAACCCCCTCGATGTGACAGCATGCCGCTTTCAAAGTAATACTATGACCCTAAATACCATCATACGTTCTCCTAATGGACAATACCACATTTCCCTATTATTAGTGAATTATCAGCCCCTTATGGATAACCTTCTGGGACAGGACAGCCATTAAATCTCACGCTGTGCCAGCCTGCCTGCTCCTTCTCCAGACCCCAGGTCCTTCCCGCCATCACCACCTTGCCCTCCCCGCAGCCACCTCCCCAGTACCTGCACAGAAGGTGCCATCGTTGGGAATGAAGGTCTTGTTGTGGTTTGTGGCTCGATAGCCTTCTAGGCAGACGCAATAAAAGCCTCCGAGCGTGTTGTGGCAAGAGGTGTGGTTCCCGCAGACCACGGAGTCTCCGAGCTGGCACTCATTCTTATCTGTTGGTACAAGGAGACGTGGCACAGAGACGGCGACCCATCGCCCCCATGGGCAGCGCCCCACACTGCCCTCCTGTGCTGTGGACTCAGGCACCAGGGCCCGGGGCAACGTCCCCATCTATTTTCCGAGCTTTCTCTTTTCACTCTGCTTCAGGCTCCAGCCACAGGGCTATAAGGGTACCTGAGGGGGCATCTGCCCAACAGCTCAAGTGCATCATCCATCTGATTTGCAGGGAGGGAGAAGGGGATTCTTTCTCAGTGTTTCCACACTTAGAAAGATCTTGTCAGAGGCCTAGGGAAACAAATTCAGCAGAATCTCACTGTTCGAGCTTAGCCATTCTCTCTCTTTTTTTTTCCACGAAAGCCAGAGAAGGACGCTGGTACATCCAGTGATTAACTGGAAAATTTGTTACTTCTGGGTTACCAGGAAACACAATGGAATTAGTGCTTAAGCCTCATCCGGGAGCAGGCTAATACGGTGGCAGGATCAGCTCCTGCTAATCATCAGTGACCCCTGCAAGTAATGTCAGACACCCGGTGAGGACCAGCTGGACTCTGTGGGGCCTGCCCTGAGTATCTATCTGCATTATCAATTTGACAAAATGTAAAAGGAAAGTAATTCTCCCATCTCTGTCCGCTCATCCTGGGGGGGGGGCAGCAAACTTTTTCTGTTTCTTTTTTTTTTTTTTTTTTTGTCTGTGTATTTTCCTTTCTTCTACCCAGTCCTTTGTGAGTAATTACGCTCAAGGTCACTGATTCGATCCTCCATTTGGTCGAGTATATGCTTCCATAGCTTTTGTAGAAATTTATATCTCTTCTATTGATTTTTTTACATCCTGCAGCTCCCTTATTTTCTTACTTAATGCATCCATTTCTCTCTTTTTGTTCATGAGTTATACTTCTCATGATGTTTATGTGTTTTTCTGAATGTTACAACTCTGATTAGCCTTGTTTTTCTGAATGTTGTAACTCTGATTAGCTTTTCTGGGTTCCCTTGTATCACTCTGACTTGTTTTTCTGCATTTTCTTCCATTCCTTTGAATTTCTTTATCATGGCAATTTTGAGCTCTCTATCTGATAGGAAGATAAAATCTTTCATATCTTTGCAAGTTTTTCTGTACTGATCAGCCCGCCGGCCTCTGTTGCAACTGCTCACCCTTTCCCCTGCATCTGGAGCAGAAAGCAGTCATACACATTAGGCAAACAAGCCAGGGATGTTGGGGTCTAATAAGCCTCTACAAAAACAGCAGCAGTCACATTTGCCCTGCAGGCCCGACTTTGCGGACTGCCCTAGCCTCCACCTTCAGAGGAAAGGCCACTGACCAACTTCTTAAGCATCCTTTTAATCTATCCAGCTAGATTTGGGTTTGGTTTTGTTCTGTAGGGGAAAAGAATTAACAGTCTTTCTGTTTTTTATTTAGTGTTTCATTAAACCTCAAAGCAATTCAATTGCCTCTCCCAATTGCATTCATTTCCTGCTAACTCAGAGTATCCCGTCCCTCAAAGCCTGAGGTTGCTTCCCCCTTTGTTTCTTGTATTATCTCTTTAAACACTGAATTGCACCAGGAGCATGATTCATGGTTGAGACTGTCTGTGGTGAGGTTTGCATACGTGCTGTTGGAGACAAAGCAGAAACTCAGCACAGCCAGGCCAAATGTCCAGTCCAGTGCACAGAAAAAGGGGTTTCAGACACAAGCCCAGCTGCCCATCAAATGAGGTATTCCTGCCTTTGCCATTGTTTGTAAGACATGTCTCCCCTGAAGACTTCCATGGAAGGTACAGTGAGACTTACAGGGATTTCTAGAATTCTTACGTTCCTTGGCTCAGGGCATTCTGTCACTCCTCCAGCACAGGTGGAAATTCACCTGTAATCTGTGGCTCAGTCTCAGCAGACCCACGCCTGGATATGCAGTGTCTAGTGTCTATAAGTTAATACCATGTAAGTAAATAAATTTCCCTCTTCCCGATAAGAGAAGTTTCTGTCCAAAAGTCACAGAACAATCATGGGCACGGCCAGCTTTTAAGGGAGCAGCATTTCATGAGGGGCAGGATTAGAGAGGGCTTGTCCGTGCTCCCCAAATCCAGCTTCACTTCCAAAACCCTGCTAGCAAGGAGGTGGGGAGGGGTTTCCACACTCCTCATGAGCAGAATCCCAAAGAGAGAAGGTCAGAGGCTGCACAACTGAAGCCTACAGGCCCTGACAAGAGGGAGTGCTTGTGAAAGCTGGTACTTGGGAAGGTGAAGTGACTTTTTAAACTCAGGACTAGATTTGTGTTTCTGTAGGGAGAAGAAACCCAAAGATATCACAAAGATGTAGACCCTCAATCCAAAACCCCAAGGTAAAACTATCAATATCTTTACTGAATGAAACAAAGTTGCTGGGAAGAAACTAGAGATTAGAGATTATCACTGAACCATTCACTATTGTAGAGTTGTTCTACTGATTTACCATGGTGGATGTCAGGAGGCAGAAAATAACCTCAGATGTTTCTAGTCTAAAGGTCTTTGTGTTCCTTCAAGTGACCCAAGACCACAACAGGTTACAATTTGGAGGATGGATGTTGGGTAGACAAAAGATACAAAGCAACAGTATTTCACCAATAATCAAAAGTCCAATAAGAAACTGTATTTTGTCTTTCGTCACTTTACTAACATTAAATTTTATATCAAAAAAGAATGTTGAATCAATAAATGCTTAATAATTAATATTACAATAAATTAATCTCTTAACAAGTTAATAAAAATTAAACTCAAGATTTGAAACATTTCAAATGTTGCTGCGTGAGAGAGTATCTAGATTCAAGGTCAATGGTCCCTAATGTGTGGGATATTTCCTTGTAAGCCCGTGAGAATGGCTATATCCAAACTCTAAGACAAAGACTAGTTATAATCAACAAGACTTCTTAGAAGAAAAACAATGGAACAAAATAACAATCTTTTCTTCCCAAGAATATCAACTCTCAAACTCTAGAGAAACTTCACTTGATTCAAGTTTTCAACTTAACCCACCATTCGAAACTTACCAATACACTGAGTCCTGCCATTGCCCACAAATCCATAGTTGCAAATACACATCTTCTTTCCTTCTACTTGCTTACATGTAGCATGTTTATGGCATGTGGCACAGACATCTGAACCTGAATCATAAATTGCACATTTTAGGAAAAGAAAATTTCAATCACCTATTCTATATGGGTCATATTCAAGGTAGTAGATATTTACAGTAGAAAGTCAGAATTTGAATACCAAAGTTGAATAGCTAGCATCAAAAGCATGCAATGGTCAGTCACTGCCAGCAAAGTAAAGTACAAACTCCTTCCTATGGCATTCATAGCTTGTACTAGTCTGACCCTAGGTTAATCCTCCAGTCTCAATGTTCCCAGTCCCACACAAGGTACTCTCTAGGTAGGAAGCTGACTACTGTCAAATTTCAAGCCCCTGTTCCCTTCTGTTACAATGCCTGTTCTTCTTTTTCTACCTAGCTAGCACCACACCTATTTGAAGACCAGCTTGAACGTCACAATCCTCTGAGGTATTTCCTACTCCTCCATTCTTGAGAAAATGTAAATGCACCTTCCTCTGTACCTCCTAATGCTTATACATTACATATTAATCCTGATAATTTGTCATTATACTCTAATCAGCTCTGTCTTCCACTCTTGAACTATGAATGAGCTTCTCAAGAACAGGGATTGTTACATGTCCATATGTCATTATGGCACAGTTTAAACAGTCAATATTTTTTTCTTAAGTGACTGGGAAAGGGAACCTGCCATCTTATTCAGTACAACTCCAAAGGCAAACAGAGAGAAAAAGAATTCATCTATTACCTTATCCATTTTCCTTTTAGGGAAAAAGTGAAAGTATTTAAAATGTAAGTGAGATAACAGTCAGTTCCCAGCAGAATGATCAGATAGAAGTTACTTAGATAAACAGCAAAATATCTGGGGCGAAAACTCCAAAAACATCCAAAGCTACCAGATGGTAATAAATGGCCCAAGATCAAACAAGAATTTCTACCCCCGGCTATGTGGCTATTGTGTTTCATTCTCAGTGTCTGTAATTTCAGGAGTGACCTAGTAAGGAAAACCTTGCCAGCATGGAATTTCATCTTCGGCTTGGCCCCATTACTACACAGGTAATAAAGCCTTAACCCCCAGGCTGCTCCAGGCAGGCAACCAACTAAGACAGAGAGGTTTCTAAATGTTCTTAACCACGCTTGCTTTATTTTTTAAGCAAAAGATAACAAAGAAATGAGATAAAACAACTTTATCACTACATAATTCCAAATTAACCATGGCATTTTTTCAAAATGTATTTTATCCCAGAGTAGAAAGCAACAAAGTTCAAAAAAGTAGAAACTGCACACAGGTCATCTCGCCTGACAACCTTGTAATAAAACTACAAAGTAAAACATATGACTTAGCATCCCCCAAACTCTCAACAACCTACTTGGAAACTTGGAAACCGAATCCCTTAAATAATTCTTGCCACAAAGAAGATAGCAAAATTGAAATATTTTAATACTAGTTAGTATACAGTCAGAAAATAAGAGTTTTACCTGTTTTTAAACATTAAAAGAAAGGAGGGAGTAAAATGTTAATGCAAGAAATTTTGGGGAAAGGGGAAAATACAATAGAGGTTTATAGTGTTCTTGAATTACTAGACTAAAAAAAGATACAAAGAATTATAAAATATATTCAAATTCATTGGGTAAAAAAACTTTCCCCAAAGTCAGTGAAAAATAAAGACTAACAAAGGAGACACAACTCAGTTGTGAGGGGGAAAGAGCAGGAAAACACACATTCAGAATAAGAAAGAGCTTGTAACAAAAATACATAAAGACTTAATGAAAGACTTCCAGTTAAACACTGTAGGTTTAATACACACTCTGAAACTGCTCCCCACCCCGACACACACACACACCAAAATAGCATTAAGGGCTAGAAAGATACAAATCCTAGGAGAAGTGAGGATATCAACAATATTCAGAGGACGCATGGTAGCTGCCAGAGCAAAGAGAAGACCTGAAAGCCAACTCTGAGGGGCTCAGGAATTGGAGTCACTGAGCAAAAACTTCCAACAGCAAGCTGAAGGATCCGGGTTGAAGGGTCAAGAAAGTGGTTGAAAATGTTTAAGGAGTACTAAAATGCCCAGAAAGTGGGCCAGAAAAGCTCTTGATTATTGGGGCAACAGGCAAAGCTAAATGAGAATGAGTTCTAAGCTGAAATGTCCACCAGTATGGGTTAAATATACTGAACCACTGTTACAAATAACATTTTAAAACAGCACCTTTAAGGACACTGTCAATTCATAAAAATGCCATGCAGCCAAATCCTGGAAATAATTCCTTAAATAACTGAGCACAACTCTGGGGGCGTAGATGGTAGGGTGTGGGGTGGTGACACACATGAGAGGGGATGTAAGCCTGTTCCCCCACATCATACACAGTGTTGTAAACCAATGCTACCCCAATAAAGGAAATGATGATGATGATGATGATGATGATGAACCACAGGCTAAGACCACAAACTCAACTGTGTTAACTCTATAATAGAAACATGTTCCTCAAGGTGTGTATGAATGAACAATAACTCTAAATACCATACTAATAAAATCAACAATAAAACGGTAACTTCTCCTACATGGAATATTTTTTCTGTATAAAGACAGTAGCATTGATATACATTCTGTTCCAGAGACTTCTATCAGATGGAAAACATTACTTCATGGAACTGTTGCGAGAATCTAACAAACACAAAAACTTAAGAAGCATAATGCCAACCACTCAGACAAATTAAAGATAATCCAGTCTCAACTAGTGAAGAATAGAAGTCAGAATTCTTTAACAAATTAAAGTTCATTCAATTAATAGAACCAGACAAATAAAATATGGCCTTATAGGAAGGCAGCCAGGTACAGGGAGAACCACTGGATTTGAGTCAGAATTACATCCTGACCTAACTCATTGTGTGACCTTTTGCAAATTACTTAACTCATCTGAGTCTGTTTTTTCACCCATAAAAAAGGGCTTTTGGGGGCCCTCCCTGGTGGCACAATGGGTTAAAGCACAGTACTATGAAGCTATCACAGCATGAGTTGGATGGCCAGCCAGGGGGGTGACCCACATGGTGTGGCAGACCTCTCCCGACCTGCCTGCTGCTCCCCTCAGCAGTATGTTTCAGTCAATCTGCCTGTTCTGTCTCTGGTGAATCCTCTCACCAACCCCTACCCCTGTTGTGCCTCTGGCCTGTACCCCAGTTCTATATGTATAAATAAATAAATCTTAAAAAAAAAAGGGGGGGGCTTTGAACTTTTCAAATTTTTCATGTTTAATTATCTGGGACCCTTGATAAAACTGCAGGCCTGACCAGGTAGGTCTGGGAACCTCTAGTTCTCATCTCTAACAGGCAGAGCACATCGTGAGAAGCAGGAGTGAAATGATCACTAAAGTCTTTTCCTTCTAAGGTTCTAACACATTGTCCTTAGGATGACTGCTTCAGTGACTTCTTAAGAATAATTTAGTATGGGGGGAATCGCTCACCTCATTGGTTTACAACAATGTAAACCAGTATTAACTCAATAAGAAGTATTTTTAAAAAAAGGTTAATTGGTATAAGTATAAATCCAAGAACAGGACACAGTAGTAGAACTTGGTGCAGTAAAAGTTTACTCCTCATCCCGGCAGAAAAAGAGCAGCTATATCCCAGGCTACCAAAGGCCTGTCAGACGATGCAGAAAAGAACATGGTTTTCAGAGAAAGCAGGCCTCACTGGAGCTTATTATTCTGCCATGATTAGCTAATCTGAGGGCCCTGTAGGGCAGCTTCCTGAGCAAAAACCCTCCTAGAGCAGGAGGCAGGGAGCCTTATCCCAATGTCAGGAAAGGCAGAGGATGTGTCGCTCTGACCGCACAGTGGTGACCATTGTTCAACAGTCCCTCACTCACTTACTAATCACCTGGAGATAGTGTGACCGATCTGTCCCAATTTAAAAGTGCTGTGTCAGGGAACACCCCTCAACTCCATGCAAACTAAGATAGCAGCTCACCCTAAGTGGCCAGTGTGTTAAGCCCATAGAAATTCTGATGCAGCAGGTGCGGGGTATAGCCTGAGAATATGCCTTTCTGAGAGGCTCCCTGGGTCACTGGAGGAGCAGCAAGCAAAGTCCTGATCAGCCTCAGTGGCTTGGTTCTGAGCCCTGGGAAGGAAAAGGCAATGCTGGGGAAGTCTTTTGGAAGTCTGGACTCATGCAGCGCATAGCTCAGGACCAATGGTACAGAGATAGGAATACTCCAGAAGAGCTTAAAAGGACCGCTGTGCCCCTCTGTAGCCTGAGGGGGTAGCGTCAGCTGAGGGGAGTAGGGGGGTAGCTTCACCTCGATGTCACAACTTTACAGGGGCCATCAGGAAACCACTCGTTAGAGCAGAGAGGTGGCTACCAGGTAGCAATCGAGAGCTCCAGGAAGGGGGTGAACAGCCCCTACCCCATCCAGGGGTCTAGACTTACGGCCAAAAAACCAGGGGGAAAAACCTCACAGATACTCCCTTTCTATGACTGTACCCCCTGCTAGGGCTCCGCCCTAGAATTACTTCCCGTTTGCTACCCTGCAGTGACTAAGCCAGTGAAAACCACATCCAATGTGGCTGGTTTTGGTGTTAACCGAGCTCGGGGTCTTAGCTCTTGCTCCCTCATCGTGTGATCTCAGGTAAAATAAGCTGTCGGTGCAGTTTTAATCTGGTGGATGGAGAACATGTTGTGAGGATTAAATGAGAATGGAAATGCTGTGTGAGCTTTAGAGCATTGTACAAAGAGATAATTTACATGGATATTGATGTCTCTTCATAGCTATTGTTGTTATTAGAAACGAGCCCCACAAGATGCAGACCCTGGCATCTGGCACAGTGGTTGAGAGCAGGGTAAAGGGAGATTATTTGGGCCACAGTTCTCTTTCTGCCTCTTGTTAGCTGAGTAATCCTTGACTATCTTTGTGCCTCAGTTTCTTGTAAGGATAATAATAAACCTACCTCTTATGGTTTTTGTGAGGATTAAAGAGGAGAGCGTTAATAGACATGAAACAATGACAATGTGTTAGGCATTCAGATAACAACCACTCAATGGCTCTTTGTTAA